AGACAAACAGCAGCACACCGAAGACAGCAGCAGGAGGAGAATGTGTCCAAGCAGCAGCAGCAGAAGCAGCAGCAGCAGCAGAAGCAGCAGCAGCAGATGCAGCAGCTACTGTTTCTGTTGCATCAGGATCTCCTGTCTCAGCCTCTCCCTCTGCATCCCCCCCTGCTGCTGCTGCTGCCCCTACTGCAGCAGCAGCAGCTGCTGCTGCATCTGCAGGTTGCTCCCCTGCCCTCGGTGTCTCTGCTGCACGCTGCCTGCGTCTCTTTAGGGACAGTCTCCTTCTTCTTAATAAAGAGTGTCTCCTTGCTGCATGCAAGTTCTCCTCCTCTGAGCTGCTGCTGCTGCCGCTGCTGCTGCTGCTGCTGCTGTCCTCAGGCTCTACTAGCCTCATAGGCTCAAAGCTTATAGCTCGTTCTAAGGGCAGCAGCAGCGGCAGCCTAAAGTCTATAGACACCTTGCTGCTGCTGCTGCTGCTGCTGCTGATTCTGCTGCTCCTGCTGCTGCTGCTTAGAGTGCTGCCTAGACGGTGCAGTTGCTGCTGCTCTTCCTGCTGCTGCTGCAGGGTGGCGAAAGAGGAGGCATCAGGCCCTCTCCCGCCTCGCAGCAACTGTTGCTGCTGCAGCAGCAGTTGCTGCTGCAGTTGCTGCTGCTGCTGCTCATGTTCCCCTTGGAAATGTGCAGCAGCAGTACGCAGCAGCCCAGACACCGCAAGAGATCGGCATACAGCTAAGACAGCAGCAGCATGAGAAGGAGACAGTCTCCTTTTAGCAGCAAACTTATATACACAAGAAACAATTCTTGCTGCTGTTGCTGCTCTCTCCCATTGCTGCTGCAGTCTCTCCTGTAAATCTAACAGCTGCTGCTGAGCTGCAAGCTGCTGCCGCTGCTGCAGAGGCAGCTGCCGCTGCTGCTTCTGCTGCTGCTGCTGCACTAGAGGCGAGTCCCACCTTGGCAAGCAGCAGCAAAGACTGCTTGGTTGCTGCCAAGGAGACAAAGCCAAGCGCGGTGTTGGGCAGCCACACCTTTGTGTCTCTGTACACACATACAGCAGCAGCAGCAGCAGCAGCAGCAAAATGAGCAGCAGCAGCAGCAGCGGCAAAATGAGCAACAGCAGCAGCAACAGCAACAACGCTTTCCCCTTACTGAGAGTGCCCCTCCAATGCTTTGCTTCCCCCAGCAGCAACAACATGGGAAGCAACAGCAGGAGGAGGAGGAGGAGCAGCAGCAGCAGCAGCAGGAGCAGCAGCAACTGCAGCAGCAGCAGCAAGAGCTCACCAGCTATTTTGCCCATGAAGACTAATGCAGCACATTGAAGAGCATCTAGCTGCTGCTGCTGCTGCCGGTCGCTGCGCAGGTCGCGAGATCTTTTTGCTGCTGCTGCTGCAGCAAAGACACCTGCTGCTGTATTAAGTGCAGCAGCAGCAAGAGTCCCTCTGCAGCAAATAGGGAGACCAAAGAACCGAGCAATGCCATCTGTAAACAGCAGCACATCTCCTGCCTGCTTCAGCAGCTGCTGCTGCTGCTGCGCTGCAGCAGCAGCAGCACGAAGCTGCAGCAGCAAATTTGAATCTTGCAAACCCTCATTAAAGCCCTCGTAGCGCATGCAGGAGGGGAGACACAAGTTAAGCTCATCATACACCCGAGACTGCATCTCCCCTGCTGCTGCTGTTGCTGCTGCTGCCTCTGCTGCAGTGGGGACAAGCGCATGCACCACACAGTCCACCTGCTTCAGGTACACTGGAGCAGCAGCACCGCTGCAGCAAGCAGCAGCAACAGCAGACGCAGCAGGAACAGGGGCAGCTATGGGGGAGATAGAAGCAAGGCCTGCAAGAGCAGCAGAGCAAGGCTCCATTACAGATCCTCCCCCTTCTGCTGCTGCTGCTGCTGCAGCAGCAGCAGCAGCAGCAGCAGGCAGCCCTGTTGTCTTTGCTTCGTGCTCCATCTGCACGGCGCTTAAGGAAGAGATCGCAGCAAAGACGATGCTGTAGTGACACAGACACAGCAGCACACATATATCCACCATAAGCAGCAGCAGCAGCAGCAGCAACAGCAGCAACCACGGCAGGGGAAGCAGCAGCAGCAGCAGCAGCAGCAGCAGCTTACGGTTCTACAAGTTTTGTGAGTGTCTCGTCAGCAAGAATATTAATAAAAGGATCATTAGGTGTAAGTGTACGTCTGCTTGCATGCAGCAGCAGCAGCAGCAGCAATTGCTGCAGCTCTGCTGCATGCTGCTGCACCCTCCAATGTTGCTGCCCCTTAGATAAGACATCTGTTAGATGAGCAACAGATGCTGCTGCATGCATAAAGAAAGCAGCAGCACGGGGCCCCTCTAGTCTTACACCATCACCTAGATCATTATCATTGCTGCTGCTGCTGCTGCTGCTGCTGCTGTTGCTGCTGCTGCTGCTGCTGAGGCGAGCATCTTCTTGCTGCTCAGATGCGGAGGGACCCGAGTGCTGCAGCAGCTGCTGCTTGTATGCTGCTGTCTCTGACTGCAGCGTAGCATCATCGGCAGCAGCAGCAGCAGCAGCAGCAGAAGTTTCTAGTCCCCCTGTCTTGAGTAGCGCTTGGCGCTGCTGCTGCAGTGCCTTACGTTGATCTTGCGTGTTTGCTGCTGCTGCTGCTGCAGCAGCTGCTGCTGCTGCAGCACGGGTGTTGGTTTCCTGCTGATCCTCTTGGAGGAGGTCTGCTGCAGCAACCCCTGATATCTGGCTGCTGAGGTGCAGCAGCAGCAGCAGCAGCAGCAGCAGCACGGGGTCATGACGCACCATACCTGAGGTGTCATCATTCCAGTGTCTAAGCATTAAGGGGCTGCTGAGGTGTACAGGCAGCAGCAGCAGCAGCGCAGCAGCACGCAGCAGCGCGCATATAACACCACGAGGTGCAGCAGCAAGCAGCATACGCGGCAGCAAAATATACACTAATCTTTCTGCTGCTGCTGCCATTAGAGGAAGTTCTTCGTTGCTGCATCCTCCTTCTCCTCCTGCTGCTGCTGCTGCTCCTGCAGCAGCAGCAGCAGCAGCAGCTAATCCATCTAATAAAGAACGCTGCAGTCTAAGAGCCTCTCTGCCGGGCTCACTCTCGCAGACACGGTCCTGCTGCTGCTGCTGCTGCTGCTGCTGTGGCGTTTGCTGCAGTGCCAGCAGCAGGGAGCGGCAGTTTCCTGCTGCAGCAGCAGCAGCAAATGCACTCAATGCTTCTGCTGCTCTCAAGGAAATGCTCCATCTAATAGGAAGGGAGAGACCCCGCTGCTGCGCAGAGGGGTCCTGCTGCTGCTGCTGCTGCTGCTGCTGCTGCAGAGGCAGCAGCAGCAGCTGCAGCAGCACAACAAATACTTGCTTCGTAAGGGATAAAGGGATAGGAGGAAATCCATTAGATGCAAATACTTTCTCCAGCAGCAGCAGCAAGGAGCAGCAAGCAGCTCCCTGTGTTGCTGTCTCCTCACTACCAGCAGCAGCAACAGTAGCAGCAGCAACAGGAGACACAATTGCTGCAGCAGCACACAGCACAGCAGCAGCAACAGGTCATCAGTAAGTACTTCCACGTGTTACCAACTACAGCAGCAACAGCAGCAGCAGCAACAGCAGCAACAGCAGCAACAGCAACAGGAAGGAAAATAGTGACAACAGCACAGCAACTACCCTTCCTCAGCCACCTCTGCTACTGCATGCATGCATGCTGATGCACGCATGCACTAGCAGCAGCAGCAGCAGCAGACGCATGCATGCATGCATGCATCCTCTGTTTACCTGCTTTTTTTGCTGCCTTAATAAGTTTATGAATAACAACATGAGGGGTGCAGCGGGAGATGATCAGCAGCAACTGCAGCAGCAGATCTCTTCTCTCGTCTCCTTCCTCTAGTGCTGCTGCTTCTTTTATAGCAAAAGATACTAAAGGACGTAGCCATTCTGCTGCTGCTGCTGCTGCTGCTGCTGCAGCAGCAGCAGATGCTGCTGCTGAAGGAGACGGTTCTGATGATGGGTTTAGGGATGATGACCCCACATAAGGGGACATTAATAACCTGCTGCTGCTGCTGCTGCTGCTGCTGTTGCTGCTGCTGTCTTGCTGCTGCTTGGCTGCTACCCTCTGCTGCAGCAGGGGATTGTTATTAAGAGCCCAACGGAAGACAAGTAGACGCAGCAGCAGCAGCAGCACGACTTGCTGCTGCTGTGTTGCTGCTGCTACCTCTAAGTATGCCTTAATAGCAAGTATTACTCTTGCTGCATCTGCTGCAGCAAAAGAAAGAAGAGCAGCAGCAGCAGCAAGACAAGAGGAAATAATAGATCTTTCTTCTTCCTTACCTTCTATAGGTATTATACATAATACACCTTTGCTCAACTCTGCTGCTACTGCATGCAGTGTGGGGTCTTCTGCTGCACCCTGCTGCTGATGCTGCTGCTGCTGCTGCTGCTGCAGCAGCAGGGGATGCTGTTGCTGCAGTTGCTGCTGCTGGTGGTGTTGCTGATGCTGCTGATGCAATTGCTCCTGCAGCACACCAACAGCAACTTGGTGCTCCGCAGAAGCAGCACCACCAGGTGCACCATCTGCTGCTGCTGCTGCTGCTGCTGCTGCTGCTGCTGCAGTAGGTAAGGTTGGCTGCTCTAAGAACTTAGATAAGAGACGCTCAGGGCTCAAGGCAGCGCGCAGCAAAGAGAGGAGAGAAGAATTGTCTCCTCTTCCTTCTGTGTGTGCTGCTGCATCTGCTGCTGCTGCTGCTGCTGCTGTATCTTCTGCATTCGCTGCGTCTGCTGCTGCTGTTCCTGCTGCTGCTGCAGCAGCAGCAGCATTACATGGTAAGGAAGGCTGTAAGGAATTCAGCAACACAAAAAGAATATCATCTTTATCTACACCACTAAGAAATCCATCAGCAGCAAAAGAGGAAGAAGACGCAGCAGGCAGCATTGCAGCAGCAGCAGCAGCAGCAGCAGCAGAAGCAACGAATCTCCTCCCCTGCTGCTGCTGCTGCTTCTCCTGCTCCTGCTGCTCTGCCTCTTGCTGCTGCTGTTGCTGCTAAAAGACTTAAAGAAGGTTGTGTGTTGAGAGCTAGGGTGGACAGATTACGGTGTACAGCTAACCCTCGAGGGTTTAGGGTTTAGGGTTTAGGGTTTAGGGTTTAGGGTTTAGCATTCTTTAATAGTAAATATATTGTAAGAATAAAAGTGTTTCGCGATTGCTGCTGGCAGGAGGGAACCACCCCTGAACCGCTGCTGCTGCTGCTGCTGCTGTTGGTGCTGCTGCTGCTACCCGTTGTCTTGCTGCTGCTGCTACTGTTGCTGTACCATTCTTCTTTCTTCCTTTGCTGCTATAGCAGCAGCAAGGGAAGAACGAAGAAGGAAGTCTTGGTGTATTGGCAGCAGCAGAACAGCACGTTAGCTGTCGTCGGCAGCAGCAACTGCAGCAGCAACTGCAGCAGCAACAGCAGCAGCTACAGGAGCAGCTGCTGCTGCTATAAGGCAGCAAATAAGTAAATAAAAAAAAAGAAAGAAAAGAAAAATATAAAACCCCACAGGTATATATTAGGGTTTAGGGCTACAGACACAACAAAAGGAGCAGCAGAACCGCTACCGACACCCGTTGCTGCTGCTGCTGCTGCTGCTGCTGCTGCTCGTGCTGTTGCTGCTGCTGCTGGTAGGGTCGTGGTCTGGTGCGGTATGGTGGGTGGATTTGCTGCAGCAGCAGCAGCACTGACACAACGCACCAACTTTGCATGCATGCATTTATAATTTAATAACTTTTATACTTATAATTTAGTCTTTATTATTTATATAATCAAAAAGGCAGCAACAGCAAGAGCAGCAGCAGCAGCAGCAGCAGCAGCATCTCGGGAGCTGCTGCGGTTGCTGCTGCTGCACTCCTCGAGTTTTTTCCTTTTTTTCTATTAATTATTATCTTTTTATTCTTTTTTCTTTTAAATTTATAATTTATTTATAATATTTAATTAAAAAGAAGAAAAAATGAATTAATTGCTGCTTCTTTCTTTACCCATAGCAGCAGCAGCAACGGCAGCAACAGCAGCAGCAGCAGCAGCAGTGGGGGCCGACCGGTCTGTGCTAGAAGGAAAAGAGAAGGAAAAGATAAAAATTATTTATAAATATAAATATTTTTATATATAAAAGAATTAAATAAATGTTTTTAATAATAAAAAAGGATTAAATAATATTATTTTCTTATTATTTACCTTTTTTTTCCTTATATACATTCTTCCTTGTATATATATCCTATTCTATTGTACAGTATACACAGTGTCTATCTATTGCCTTCTTCCCCTATTAACCTTCTTTCTTCTTTCTTTAGTTATTTTGTTCCTCTCCTTCTTGTGCATGCTTATCCAGGGGAATTAGCAGCACCAAGAGGGAGCAGCAGCAACAGAGAATCACCTTTCCCCCTTTCTGTAGTCTCCTTCAAACCCCAAGGGCAGCACACACACTCATACTACTACTGCAGCTACTTAACTAAATCTAATTACTGTCTCTTTTAATCAGCATGCTACCCACCGCTTATCCTGCACGCACGACCTCTCCCGGGGCCTCTGGGTCCCCTGGGACCCCCCGTGGGGCCCTGATTGCTCCCCTATGACCTTGCAGGGGCCCCCACGATGTGTGTGTGTGTGTGTGTGTGTGTGTGTATGTGTGTGTGTGTGTGTGTGTTCATTTGTGCCTTATATCTGCCTGTTTGCTTTCGAGGTTGTGTGTGCCTTGGCGCTCGTGTTTGTTGGTAGATAGTGCATGCACGCAGAATTGGCCAAGAGCGGGGATAATAGCCTTCCTTGCTGTGTTGAATGTTGTCCATATCCTTCTGCTGCTGCCGCTGTTGCAATTGCTGCTACACTACATGCATAGTTGCATGCATCCTAACAATAGCTATTCACAATCTGTCTCTCGAATATATTATCGACAGAAAGGCAAGAAAGGAGAAAAGAGAAAGAGAAGGATGTACGTTCTCTGCTGCATGCAAGAGGTGCTGGTGATACTTCGCAGACTACCAGACGCCAGTCTTAAACATCAGAAGAAGTACAATGTTTAGGACCAACTAGAGGACCACCATGGAACAATAAATAAACACCCAATGGTAGTTTGCTCATCAAGCACCAAAGGGACGGGCTGCATAACAGAGAAAAGAACATAAGTTGCTTAAAAATATACATATATATAAAAGAACTTCCTCTTGAACATTCATAAAATTGTCGACAAATATCAACTTCTTCATTCTTTTGCACCGTATAGAGGCATTGCATGCAGCCCTTTTCTGTTCAGGCAACCAGCAGTTGTCCGTAAGAGAAGGACAATATACATAATACTCTTACAGTAAAAGTGCCTCCACCTCTTGGGGCAATATGGTTATGACGCTCACCATGATTCAGAGGAAATGTATTACTTCCTCGCCCCTATAAATCTTCATTTTCCTCTCCAGCAAGTATCAGCAGTACTACAGTTGTTCTTTGGGTACTCCTTACTATAAGCCAAGACACAACAAGGGTGCCTGTATAGAATGCTTAAGAGATAAGAAAAGATGAATAACAACGCATGCTGCCGTTAGAGCAGAGACGGTAAGGGACAAGCTGGAGAATAGATAAGAGAATTCACCTATTACAGCCGTCAACAGCATATGTCTCCTGTACGGTAAAAGGAGTGGAAACACTCCCCCCACGCGGAAGGGGCAACAACGCATGCATGGCAACGGCACTAGGGGACACGGAGAAGCAGTGCATGCACTCCATCGTGATAATCTTGTTAAGCTATAGCTATTGGAGGATTCTATCCAGTTAAGGCCCGACAGACGGCAGAACTGGGGACTACTCAACGAATATATGTAAGGTAAGAGTACATATTAGTTGCCTAAACAAAGTTACCCCCTAATGGATATTGTCGAAGGTCTATCGGTTAGCCTCTGTGTCCTGCAACTTAGCTTAAGTATGATTGTTCCTTTCTTACCCAGACGGAGCCAACGGTTGCTCGTTGCATGCCCTTACTCTTTGAATACTCCTTTTGCTCGGATATAGTTTCCCTCCTTCTATCAACAGAGAGTGGGACAATAACACTACGCCTTCGTCAGCCTAGAGAAGGAAACTTCTCTCTAGCCGATGGCTGCTGTATTGCAGGGAGAAGAAGAAAGACGAGCAGCAGCAGAAACACTGGCACAATACCTCCCGTGCTGCGTAGCAACAGGAGAGAGCTATACTCAACCCAATACCGCCATGTTCATAGCTAAGCAGGCGCATGCATATTGAGTGCTAAAGGGTGACAAATACAGATAAAAAAAATATTTGCTATCTTCCCTAGTGTATATACAGTTGTTATACATTAACCCTATATTCTCCCCCCTAATATAGATACAGGGTATTATAATGGGGGGTGAATAGCCATTAACAGCAGCCTTATGTGTCTGTACATACACCGGAGAAGGTGTCCTGCTTGTGTTTTTTCTTGTTTGCTTCTTTCTCCCTGACTTACAAAAAGGTAGACTGTATTCATCTAAGTGTCTCCTTTTCTTCTTTCTTTTTCCCTAAGGGATCGAAAGGAGACACTAAGGAGAGGAATTATTAATTGTTTATAAGGGAATAATAATTAAGGGGTCTATCTATTTATTATAATACAATATAAATTCTTCTTCTATAAGAAGATCTGGTAGTCGCTATACAATGATATACAGTGCTGCTGCTGCTGCTGCTGCTGCTGCCGCCGTTGCTGCTGCTGCCGTTGCTCCCGCTGTGTTAGGGGAAGGGGGGGTAGAGGGGGTAGATAGGAGGGGCATAAGGGGCAAAATATCTGCTCTTCTTCTTTATATATTATAAATAATGAATAAAAATGAATTATTAATACATTTAATTCAGCAGCAGCAGCAGCAGAAGAAGCAAATTTAACGATATATGCAGCAGCGCTGCTGCCCGGGTGGTGGTCGAACAACGCGTGCTGCCGCTGCTGCTGCTGGTGTTGCTACTATATTTACTGCTGCTGCTGTTGCTGCTGAATTGCCCCTTATAAGGAGTTAAATTAATAATAAATTAAATATAATTAATTAATAATTAATTAAAAAAAAAAATAAAAAGAAAATAAAGAAAAAAGGCAAAGAAAAGCTGTCCCACAACAGGCGTCAGCGGCGCAGCCACTGCGTTGCAGCAGCAGCAGCAGCAGCAGCAGCAGCATGTGATGATGTGTGGCCTCTGTCCTGCTACTGCAGCAGCAGCAGCAGCAGCAGCAGCAGCAGCAGCAGCAATGACCATGGGACAAGGCATTCAATGCTTTAAGGAAGATCATCATTATCTACTTATAATAAGAAGAAGTTTTCTTTTTTTTCTTTCTTTTTCTTCCTTTGTTGCTTATACTTAGCTAAACCCTAAACCCTAAACCCTAAACCCTAAACCCTAAACCCTAAACCCTAAACACTAGGAAGGCATATTTTAGGCAAGGAACCCTCTTTTTTTTTTTTTTTTTTCTTTTCCTTGTATATAAATAGCTGAGGGTTCCTTACCCATAAATAACACACCTTTGCTTCTTGCTGTAGCTGCTGCTGCTGCTGCTGCCTTTCCTGCTGCTCTTCCCCGGCTCCGCTCCTGCTGCTGTTTGCGGCTGCTCTGCTGCTGCTGCTGCTGTTTGCTCTTGTTATAGGCAACAGCAGCACAGTCTAGCAGCAGCTGCTTTGAATAGGCGGGGGAGCAGTCTTCTTTTCTGCAGCTTTTGCTGCTCTGCTGCAGCAGCAGCAGCAGCAGCCACTGCAGCAGCAGCAGCTGAATAATTATTGCTGCAGCAGCAGATTGCCCCAAGGGTCTTGTTTATTTGTATTTTCTTTTTGTTTTTTATATCTAGTCTTTCTTATATTTGCTATATCTTCCTCTATTATCTATTAACAGCAGCAGCAGCAGCAGCAACAACAGCAGCAGCAACAGCAGCAGCAGCAGTAGCAGCAGCGGTGGGATCGTGTGGGATCGGGATCGTGTGGGATCGGGATCGTGGGGTTATCTTGTGTTAGAAGTGTCCCTCTTTCTTTGATTATAAGGGAGCGT